GGGGGGTGGCAGCGCTCTGACAGGTTTATGCAGGAGGCCGGCTCCTTGTAGGTTAGTAAATATTCTGCCCTGTGTCCACCTCCTGACACCTCCGTACCCCGGCTTCACTCCGGACTGTCATGGCTGACGTGTGTTGTGGCCGTTAGGAAGGGGGGTCAGTTCTGTGAGGAGATCTGGAGGAGGAACAATGAATAAAGTCAGACAACAGATAAGTACCCGGGGCGGCTTCACTCCCCAAAGACTTTTTTTTTCATAGCTTGCATGTAATACCTCCCCTTGTTACCCCCTTTCCCCTAATCAACACACAATTAAAAATGTACAATGAAATAATTTTGTTTTCATTAAATTACCTCTTTTGAGACCCGGTGATGTCATCACTAATGACATCATTTCTGGTCTTTGCTCCATGTTTGGTGGTAGGGGCCGGCAGGCTCCTGTAGACGACACCCGGCCTCCGTATGTCTTTTAAGAGTGTGATATGAATGAGCACATCCCCGACATTCCTTTAGAGGTGCATCACTGCTGGGTACTGTAGACTTTAGCTGTGCCATCTGCTAGTCAGTTGCTTGATTTGTAATTGAGCAACTGATCAGCAGATTGCGCAAGCAAAGTCTGCAGCACCCAGGAAGCCTGCGCTTCCAAGGGGATAGCAGGGGGCAGCACAGTGGCGTAGTGGTTAGCACCTCTGCCTTGCAGCACTGGGGGTCCCTGGTTTAAATCCTGGTCAGGACACTATCTGCATGGAGTTTGCATGTTACTGTGTTTCCTCCCACACTCCCAAAGACATGCTGGAAGGTAAATTTGGCTCCGGTCTAATTCAGCCCTGTGTAAAATAGGGACATTAGATTGTAAGCTCCTTGTACCATAGGGGGCATTAGATTGCAAGCTCCTTGTACCATAGGGGGCATTAGATTGCAAGCTCCTTGTACCATAGGGGACATTAGATTGTAAGCTCCTTGTACCATAGGGGACCTTAGATTGTAAACTCCTTGTGCCATAGGGGACATTAGATTGTAAGCTCCTTGTACCATAAGGGACCTTAGATTGTAAGCTCCTTGTACCATAGGGGACCTTAGATTGTAAGCTCCTTGTACCATAGGGACCTTAGATTGTCAGCTCCTTGTACCATAGGGGACCTTAGATTGCAAGCTCCTTGTACCATAAGGGACCTTAGATTGCAAGCTCCTTTTACCATAGGGGACCTTAGATTGCAAGCTCCTTGTACCATAAGGGACCTTAGATTGCAAGCTCCTTTTACCATAGGGGACCTTAGATTGCAAGCTCCTTGTACCATAGGGGATATTAGATTGTAAGCTCCTTGTACCATAGGGGATATTAGATTGCAAGCTCCTTGTACCATAGGGGACCTTAGATTGTCAGCTCCCTGTACCATAGGGGACCTTAGATTGTCAGCTCCTTGTACCATAGGGGACATTAGATTGCAATCTCCTCGTACCATAGGGGACCTTAGATTGTAAGCTCCTTGTACAATAAGGGACATTAGATTGAAAGCTCCTCGTACCATAGGGGACCTTAGATTGTCAGCTCCTTGTACCATAGGGACCTTAGATTGTAAGCTCCTTGTACCATAGGGACCTTAGATTGTAAGCTCCTCGTACCATAAGGGACCTTAGATTGTAAGCTCCTTGCACCATAGGGACCTTAGATGGCAAGCTCCTTGTACCATAAGGGACCTTAGATGGCAAGCTCCTTGTACCATAGGGGACCTTAGATTGCAAGCTCCTTGTACCATAGGGGATATTAGATTGTAAGCTCCTTGTACCATAGGGGACATTAGATTGCAATCTTGTACCATAGGTGACCTTAGATTGTCAGCTCCTTGTACCATAGGGGACCTTAGATTGTAAACTCCTTGTACCATAGAGGACCTTAGATTGTAAGCTCCTTGTACCATAGGTGACATTAGATTGTCAGCTCCTTGTACCATAGGGGACCTTAGATTGTAAACTCCTTGTACCATAGGGGACCTTAGATTGTAAGCTCCTTGTACCATAGAGGACCTTAGATTGTAGGGAGGAAAGGGGTTGATGATGATTGAAGCCGGTCAGACAGGAAATGAAGGCGGGCTCATTTTTTAAACTTTATTTAATTGTTTATCCGATTAACCGATTAATCGAACTTAATAATCGGCTAACTAATCGATTTTGAAAATAATCATTAGCTGCAGCTCTATACCTGTCACATCTTCACAGTGCAAGTGGCCATTGGCAAGTTGAACAATTTCCAGGAATTCTTTTAGTTGGTATAATTTCAGCTTTATACCGGCTGCTTATATTCGTCTGTCGGCCTTTAGTCTGCTCTGTGTTGTTGTTGTTGTTTTATTTCTGTGTGAAATTGCCCCCCCTCCTCCTCTGTATTCTGGGGATGGAATTGACTCTCTCCTGTCCCTGCAGGTCTGCGTGTGACTGTCCTGCTGACCTTGTTGTTTATGGTGCTCGGAGCCGGTCTGCGATGTGTGCCCGTGTCGGACTTGTCGATCAGGAGAAGGTGAGTTGGACGATATTGTGGGATCACTTTCTGGCAGGAATTTAAAGCTGAACTCCGGGCTCAAACTTTATTATATTCCTCAACAGCCACAAAGGAATCAGTCCCAGATATTGTCTTGTAAAGTAATGGTGACATCATCACTGTGCTGTACATAGTCTGTGTAGAGAGCAGAGGTATGGGGAAGGCCCCAGCTGGCCCCACCCATTACAGGAGGGGGCGGAGACGAGACCAGTCACCCTGCAAAAGGAGAGAGCAGCAGTGAGCGGTCTTCATTACAGGAGGGGGTGGAGACAAGACCAGTCACCCTGCACAAGGAGAGAGAGCAGCAGTGACCGGTCTTCATTACAGGAGGGGGTGGAGACAAGACCAGTCACCCTGCACAAGGAGAGAGAGCAGCAGTGAGCGGTCTTTATTACAGGAAGGGGCGGAGACTAGGCCAGTCACCCTGCACAAGGAGAGAGAGCAGCAGTGAGCGGTCTTTATTACAGGAAGGGGCGGAGACTAGGCCAGTCACCCTGCACAAGGAGAGAGAGCAGCAGTGAGCGGTCTTTATTACAGGAGGGGGGCCGAGACGAGACCAGTCACCCCGCACAAGGAGAGAGATTATATTGTGTTTGTGTGCAATAAACTTGAGCATTTCTTACTGAAAATATAGATTTGATTGCAACTGTCATCAATTTCTTCAGCAGGGGCGGGCAAACTCTGGCCTTCCATCTGTGGCGAAACTACGAATCCCATGATGCATCTGAATCCGGGAGTCATGCCTGTGGCTGTGAGAATCTTGCAATGCCTCATGGGATTTGTTGTTCCGCAAGAGCTGGAGGGCCGGAGTTCCTACACGGGGCCTCCGCTTTTAGAAAATATATGATGTTTTGGGGTTTAAAGTGCGTTTTTCTTGTACTAAGTGTGCATTTTAATGTGTATATAGAATGCGTATACGATGGATGTGACCGTGGAAGGGTTAAAGTCTTCCCTAGAAAGTTCTTGATGTTGATTTTATAAATGGGAGAAAGAATAAAATGAGTAAAATGAAGTGTTTTCCGTCCTCAGACTCATCCACGCAGGTCAGCTCCTGAACGGGTTCGCGGGCCCAACCGCCATGAACGCGGCTCCTTTCCTTTCCACAACGTGGTTCGCACCGGATCAGCGAGCCACGGCCACGGCGATCGCCTCCATGCTCAACTACCTGGGTGGAGCCTTCGCGTTTCTGGTCGGCCCCCTCGTGGTGCCGGCTCCTCCTAACGGGACGACCAGCGGCCTTCTGTCTAAGGAACATATTGGGCCAATAAAGGACAAGATAGAGGCTGTGATGTATGCAGGTATGGTTCTGTTTATAATTTCGCATATTGAACGTATAGCCACAAATTGGTTGAGAAACGGTCCCCTCCTAGTCCGTTATAGACGAGCGCGGTTACTGTGACTTGCTAAGCTATAAGTGAGGATATGAATAAGCCTGCCTTTAAAGGAGAACTATGAGGGGGGGAGGGGGAGTGCTTTTCACTCACCTCATAGTTCTAGCCGACCTGTGACAATGAGACTGTCACAGGTCGGCTCAGTAGATCGGGAGGTGAGCGAACACTGCGTCTCAGTATACCGCGAGCTGTAGCTCTCTCTATACTGAGGTTTGGGTGACGGGAGGACGCTAGTTTGTGTCCTCCCGTTACCCTGAGGAGAACTATGGGGAAAAGCCCTGAACTCATAGTTCTCCTTTAAAAAAAAAATAATAATAGCGATGGCAGCTCCCATATGTTTATATCGGTGGTCGGCGGCCCAATGATTACGGTTATGTGACGGGAAGATTGCGACCAACCCCACTGTGCTGCCGCCTCTTAGACCCCAGAGCAGGAATGTGAATGCAGAGCCGAGGGAAGTCCCAAGTTCCTCCTCAGCTCTGTCGTGTGACAGCCAAGGGGTGACTTCCCTCACTCCGCTGCATCTGACGTCTGTGAGCACATTTCAGGAAGGAATGGAATAATTTGGGGTGGAAGGTATTTTTGGACCCCGCGCGGCCCCTGGACCCCGCGCGGCCCCAGAGCCCTGGAACCCGCCCGAGAGTAGTAAAAGCCGCCCTGTATAAACTCAGTAGCTCATGTTGTGGCTTTCCTCATGTGGCAATGCTGGTGCTTGGGGGTTGGGCTAGTGGTGCAGCTCCTGGGAGGAGGTATTCAAATCTCAAAATGCCTTGATGGGTGAATGTCAGTCGGGAGGAGTTCCCAGGCAGGCTGCATTTGCACGCAGAGCTCCCTAGAGAACACCCCCCATGTGATGCTGAGCCTCCATGATTGAAAGATCTGAAATGTAATGAATTAAAGGGGTGGAGCCAGGGACGGTCAGGTTGGTGAGGAAAGTGCTAGCTAATGCTGGAAATCCTCCAGCCAGGAAATGAAGCGGCTCTATCTGCAGCTTCTAATGCACATTGTGAGAGGCTCCCAGTGTGCAGTGACATCAGAGGAAGAGGAGCCGCTACAACTGTGCAAGACTGAAGGGGAGGACGGAGGTCAGATAGAAGACTGAAGGGAAGGCCGGAGGTCAGATAGAAGACTGAAGGGAAGGCCGGAGGTCAGATAGAAGACTGAAGGGAAGGCCGGAGGTCAGATAGAAGACTGAAGGGAAGGCCGGAGGTCAGATAGAAGACTGAAGGGAAGGCCGGAGGTCAGATAGAAGACTGAAGGGAAGGCCGGAGGTCAGATAGAAGACTGAAGGGAAGGCCGGAGGTCAGATAGAAGACTGAAGGGAAGGCCGGAGGTCAGATAGAAGACTGAAGGGAAGGCCGGAGGTCAGATAGAAGACTGAAGGGAAGGCCGGAGGTCAGATAGAAGACTGAAGGGAAGGCCGGAGGTCAGATAGAAGACTGAAGGGAAGGCCGGAGGTCAGATAGAAGACTGAAGGGAAGGCCGGAGGTCAGATAGAAGACTGAAGGGAAGGCCGGAGGTCAGATAGAAGACTGAAGGGGAGGACGGAGGGCAGATAGAAGACTGAAGGGGAGGACGGAGGTCAGATAGAAGACTGAAGGGAAGGCCGGAGTTGCACTTTAAATAGGGCCATATAATATCTCATCCTTTAGTCCAGCTATGAAGTGATTTAAAAAAAAAAAAAAGACTTCGTGTTTTTAAATACCTTCTAACCTGACTGCTCTCATGTATGTTTTATATTTTTAAGCTAAACAGGGACAAGAGGGTCAGCGCATTAAACATAAAACAGTTTCATCACCGTCTGATATTTTTATGGCAAAGATCAGCTGAATTTACAGCCTGAACCTGTTTTTGCTGTTCTAGTCAGTTCAATAAGCTTATGACACAGGTTATCAGTACTTAGAACGGTCCTTGCATCAAAATTCATGGTCCACTTGTTTTAAATTGGCTAAATCCATTCCAGGAGCATCAAAGTAAAGGTTGTGCAAAGGTTCAGAGTTGATTTTCTTTAGAAAGCAGTCGCAGTGTGAGAAAAGCCTGTCCCCTGCCAGCATGCTGCACAGAATGACTCTTGCTCTGTGGGTGGTCTGTGAGCACCAGGATTGGGAACCAGCAGCTATGTCTGCTGAGACCAGGATTGGAAGCTAGCAGCTGCCTTGGTTGAAACCGGGCCTGGGAGCAGTCAGCTGGGACCGGGCCTGGGAGCAGTCAGCTGGGACCGGGCCTGGGAGCAGTCAGCTGGGACCGGGCCTGGGAGCAGTCAGCTGGGACCGGGCCTGGGAGCCGTCGGCTGTGGCCGGGCGTGGGAGCCGTAGAACAGTAGAAAGGCATCATGGCACACTCACAAACCAGCATGTAAAACAACTTGTCTCACCACTAAGGACAATGACAGAGGTTTGGATACACGTCTTCTGCAAAGGATGTGTAAGCCGCACTGCCGCGCCAAGGCACCTCTTATAGTGCGGTCC